CAGGGTGTATACAAACCCAAATAACTATGGCTCCTGGCCCCGTGGAGCTCTCAGTCAGGTAGATTAGATGGACCTATATAGAAGTTGTAACAAGTACTAGAGATGTTGTGGGATTAAGGGAAAAGAGAAATTAATTCCACCTGAAAAGGGTCAGAACCCCTGGTGGACTAGGTGTGAATTAAGCTGGGCCTGGAAGGATGGCATTAGGATCACTTTGGGGGTGGTCACCTGGGTCTCTGTAAAACCTCTGTCACTGTCATGATCCCCACTCCAGGAAAGAGCTGAGGACTAGTATGCCCTTCCAAGAGCATTAAAAGTCAAGCAGGAATCCAAAAAGCAGAAATTATGGGTATAGGTTCCTCCTTATTTTGGAACTGGGCAAGGTGCTAGTGCACTAAAGCCTGCCATGGAGTGGTGCTAAATCCCCTGGTGATTAATGAGTACTTAAGATATTAAATGAACACATAAATACAAAATGCTTTCGAAGGGCGCCTGGATGAAAGCACCCTGTAGCACCTTTTATTTTTCTTACCAGCACCATCTTCCACTCTTTCCTGTTAGCTTCTGATCCTGATCTCCAGTGCCAGCTCCTGCAGCCAGTCTTGGGATAAAATCTAAGTACAGGAACTGCCATAAGAAACTGCGGTGCAGGGCCGCACTGCCTGGGAATAGGGGCACTCAGGACACGTCAGGGAGTGGAGAATACATCCACACTGCTTAACAGGGAGCAAGTGAGGGTAATGGGAGGGAGTGCTGCCAGAGTACATGGGGGTCAGAGCATGCAGGGCTGTGGGTGCTAAGCCACAGAGTTTCGATTGGATGGTGCCCGCAGAATATAGACCCCGGAAGGCTTCTGTGGAGTTAACTGATCTGGTCAGGTCTCTGCTGGCTTTCCTGAGACCTGTGTCCTCACCTCAAGAAGTAACCACCCTGCAGAGAAAACAGTGTTAATTCTAATCCTGAAAGATGGGGAAGGCCTTTGCTGCCTCTGTGGCCTATACTCCACCTGGGTACCTGGAGCCCGGAATTACACAGGTCTCTCTGAGAGACTTCAATGCTGGCTTCATGTAGACTTTGAGCTCTGACTGATGGGTGAGTCACAGGTGAGCACGGACGTGGCCGTCCCAGTGCTCGGGGAGGGACCTGCAGGCCTGCCCACACAGAGCCTCTACCTAACAGCTTCCGGGCCCCCAGATGGCTCAGGCCAACCAAATGCGGTGTATCTCCTCATTCATGACCCAGATTCCCCATCTTCCCTGAAAGGTCCCAAGGAGAACACGCACTTCCTCAGTAACCTACAGGCATTTTCTTCACAAATTTATGGCATTGACCAGACCATGGGGATGGCTTTCCACTGAGCCATACCTGTTCCTCTGTCCAACGGTTACATGTGTGAGCAAGTTGGGGGCCATGAGTAACCCTTCTTTGCCATGGAAGGCCATTTCATTAGAGACAAGCATGACTAGCTGTGTGGCCAATCTTGCTCTTTGAAGAGAAAGGAAGTACAGTTGATATTACCTGGCTAATTACATTCAAATTATCCAGCCTGAAATCTCTGGATTAGGAGGCTTGGGTGGAGCTGGGGTCAATCCGTGAAGTCAGTAGAAGTCAGCCTTTGTTCTTCCGGTTTCTGGGTTATCAAGGACTAGAGAGTGTTTCCATGGCAAAATAAATAATCTGATAGCTATAGAGAACATGTTTTTTAAAATTAAAATTGGACATACGGTTTGACAAGTATCTGTGTACTTTGGGAAATATAAGAGGGGAAAGGCATTAAAATCGATGCTGTTCCTGAAAAATCTTTGGCATGTGGTCCCCTTCACACAGTGCCCTTAGTGAGGAGGAAGATAGTACATAATCCAGGATAAGCCAATTAACACAAATCACTAATTGCAATGATGGCTACCCCATGGTCTATGTGCGAGAAGAATTCAGCATCACTGCTCAGCGAAGCCTTTTGGTGACTTTCAGCAGCTAAGCTAGTCACTCAGAGGTCTCAGCACCCAGCCAGTAAGGAAGGCTTCATCTCTGCATGTCAGGAAGGAACAGAACTCAGGCCACTGCAGCCCTCATGAGCAGGCTCAGAGGCCAATCGAGTTAAAGGCAGAATCACACACTGTCCTCCAGGAGAGTTTACCCTAAGGGATTTAAGCATCTCTTTTTTGAAAGATTTAGACCAGGAAAAAATAAGAGCTTTCCTTATATTTCCTAAGACTTGTTTTATTATCATCTGCAAAGTGTATATTGTTACACACACACACACACACAGGATGTAAGAGCAGGCTCCATTTGGCTATAGCTCCTGGGAGGGATGCAAAATGGAGCCACATTTGCATAGTATGCCAGACAAGCCCTCCAGCCCCTGAAACTTCACACCTGTCTCCTGCCAGTACCAAAATGCCATCTGCTTCTCCAGGAAAGCCAGACACAAGGCCCCCCTCTTTATGCCTTTGGTAAAGGATGAGAAAACCTGGCATGGGGAGCCTTAAGTGTTCAAAAATAACTCCATAGTACGTAACATACAGTTACGTGAAAATCTGAAGAAAAGGCCTTGGCAGTCTTTTTACGAACACTCGCAATAGTGGTTGGGGCATGCAAAAGGGAAACTATTTAACGATTCAACCTAGTCCCAAATTATTTCCAGTGCCAAAAACTCTGCAAGGGAGGAGTTCTGTGTATAGTAGAAAGTCCTCCCAAAACAGGAACGTGAGGCACCCAGGCAGGATCATATTTTTTTGTTCTAGTCTGCTCTGAATTCAAGATGCTCTCCTGAAGATTTTTCTACCACCTCACATAACTAATTTTGCTGCTTTTAAAACACAGTTCTGTCTCCAGTTATGAGGGCAGAGCAGAAGGAAATCCCCTCACCCAGACCTGCACAGCAGTGCCTGGGCAGAGACCAGCCCCATGAAACAGGAGATTTTGAGAGAAGTAAATACGGTTTTCAGCACGGTTTAAGCACAGGACCATTTGGAGGCGAGAGGATATGAGTTCCTCAGCCGTGGCGCTGATGACATTTTGGGGCTGGACAGATCCTTGCTGCGAGGGCTGTTCTGTGCTTTGCAGGGTGTTCAGCAGCAACCTGGCCTTGACCCTCCGCTTACCAGCAGCACCACCAACCTACTGCACCAAACAGAAATGTCTCCAGATATTGTCAAATGACGCCTGGAGAGCCAAGTCACTTCTTTTGAGAAGAACTGCATGAGATGATGTCTTGAGGTCTCATCAAAGCCCATTGATGGGATCTGTGGGGGGCAGAGAAGGTTCTGATAGCAGAACGTTTATCACAGGGAATGTGATCTGCTTGCTTATGAGTCTGTCTCCCATTAGATCACTTTGTGAGGACAGGACTCATCTCCATCTGCCTACTGCTGTCTCTCCAGCCCAGGGTCTGGTGCCTGGCACAGCGTTAAAGAAATAAATCAATGACTGGATGGATGGCAGGCTAGATCCAGTCTCCTTTCCCAATCCCGTGGTCCCTGTGCCAAGTGCTGTGTCTTTGTGTTGCCAGTGGGGGATATCTTCAGAAAACTAATAAAATAAATGACTGAATAAATGGAACCTTTTGTCTAAAGAACACAGAGATAAGATAAATCATTGTGAGTCCTGGGAAAATTATCTCTACCACCCCACCTTGGTTTCTTCATTCAGCCAGAAAATACTTTAATTTATCTTGTGAAATTTTTCATCCACTAGCCGAACATTATTTCTTTCTTCTTCTTCTTTTTTTTTTTTTTTTTTTTTTTTTAATATTCTTCTCTCTACAAAGGTGGGCTGACTCTCAACTCATTGGAATAAAAGCTCCATTAACCTTAGTGCACATAAGGCTTGTGAAGTTGGCCTGGATTCAGGGCTGACAGAAGGATAAAGAAACCTGACACTCATTCTTCACATAATTAGAGTTGGTAAAACAAACTATGTGCATTTCATTAAAGAGATGGATCCGTCAGCCCAGGACAGGGAGGGAATCCCATGCTCACAGCATCAGCCTTTTGTCTCAAATTAGCTTCCAGTTGATAAAAATGGTTCCTGTGGTGTCACTGGGGAACATTCCTGAACCTCACCCCGCACCCCTTCATGTCTGTTAGTCTCTGAGTCCACATTGTGTCTCAGCTGGCTTTGTTCCAGCAAACACTACCGCTGTCCTCTTATACATGATGCATGTTCTCTGACACATGAAAAGATGCTTTCCTCCCTCAGTAACATGATGTCTTTTGCAAACACATATCCAGGAACCACCCTTGGCCCAGAGAACATTGCTTTTCCATGTTTATCAGTAGTCAGGATGGGGTTGCACTGAGGAACACATACTCTTGACCAGCCTTTTGACAAATATCAACATGAATTAGGCCACTGATTGAAAATCAAAGAATAATCTTTGATTATGAAATAAATATTCTTTGAAAAGCAAACAGCCCCTTCCTAAATTCAACTTACGGTTCTTAGCTATGTTGCCCTCTTCTAAAACTCTGATTCAACCCAACTCAACCCTGCTTTTAACAAACCAGGAAGGCCTTCAAAACCCCATTCTACACTCCCAGGCCCCCTGCTTCTGCCGGCCTAGGTCTGGAGGGATGGGGGGCTCCCTCTCTGTCATAGCTCTCCTTCCTGCCCTCATTCTCACTTAAAATCAGTATCAATTTCCATAACTAGCTGATGTTCCTTTTTGCTGTTGTTGTTCATATTTGATCTACAAGACAGAGAGGAGGGTAGGTGGAGACATGAGGCGGGCTTAGGTAACAGACACGCCAGCTCTCCACTGGCCATGGAGAAACCTCTCAGGCAAGAAGCAAGGACAGGAGCCCGAATAGCACAAGGCCTCTAAGAAATAAAGACAGTCTTTGAATTAGATAGGCTGAGAAAGTGCTGACAGAAGTAGGAACTGTTTCGTCCAGAGATGCCACAGAGCAGCCTGGCAGGCTGGCAGTTTCCGTCGCCACGTGCTCCCAGGGCTCCGATACCCTGGCACGGTACAGGGTGTCTAATTGTGGCAGAGACCAGGGAAACAGCTGAGGCTACAATGTCAGCTCACAGGGGGACACCCCTGCTGATGAGGGCCAAGAAACACGACTTCCACCACTTCTGGGGGGCTTCGAGATGAGAAGCAGTCACCTATGCAGAAAAAACAGTACCAAGTAAGGCTGGATGTTTTTAACTCTGGAAAACTCTGAAAACGGAGGCAGAATGAAACATCAGGCAAGCTTGGGCTGGGGGAAAGGGGTCTGGCTCTGTCCAGTGGCTCAGCTCTGTAAGCCAGACTGAGTCTCCAGATCGTTTAAAAGTGTTTGGAGTGACTGACATATTTCCCCATGGTCCTGGGAGATCTCTTTTGCAGTTTTTTTCTTTCATCATCTCACTGATAGTCATGCATGTGTGTACATGTGCACATGTGGGTGTCCTTGGCCATGTGCCCATGGGAAGGTTTCCAGAGATATTTCCATGAGTGTAGAGCTTCAGCGGAGGCAGGGAGCAGAGATGGTGGCTTTGGGGGTCAGGAGAGGGTCTGTGCATGCCTGTGCCTTCTCTTCTCTGTGAACTCAGCTGTTTGGCATCCATGACGTCTCTGCCTTTAAGCTCACTGGAGAGCTTGGGGCAGCTCCTCTTCCCTGCTGTGGTTTGTGCACCCCCCTCCCTCACCCTCCTTGCCCCCTTCTGTTCCCCGCTCTCCTTCTCCCCCTCTGGTTTCTTCAATTTCAATGAGTTTATTGGCATGACGAATGTTGCCAAAGCTGATAGCACAGAGTCTCAGTGTCTGGGGATGGATTTCACAGTGGGATGGGGGTGACCGGGGCCTCGGACCGCATTCCCACTGCGGGTTTCTGCTTCAGTCTGAGCTGGTGGCAGGCTGCCAGGGATCCTGTTCACTTAGGTTTCCAGTCCCAGCTGAACTCACCAGCCTTGTCTCCAGACATGGAGAAAGTTTTCATTATGGCAGAGGTCATGTCTGGAGCCTCGGGTCTAGGAGAGGGGGACCTTCAGGATTCTGTGTTCAAGGAGCCATTTAAAAAACAAATCCCACACTGTCCTATACGAATATGCTGTTAAAACTCCACCCAGCCCCACTGATGCTGCAAATTCACAGACTGGGGCCAGGGTGACAGACAGGCTGCTCTCAGCCCAGGTGTTCCCGGATTAGTCCTGGTCCTTGCCTGTCTTCTGAATAAGCCGAAGCGTCACTTTTTCCATACCCACTTTTCCAGCACAGACACAGAACCATTTGGAGAACCTGAGCTAGTCAAGAGAAAATGGGTATTGTTTCAGCTCGGCCTCAAACATCCATCTCAAGTGAATTCTATCTAAGGAAGTCTCCTTCCTAATGAATGAGCCTTATGAGGCTTATCCAGCTCCTCTCTCTCTCTCTCTCTCTCCAGTGTGCCTCAGCTGATGGAAATTTCTATTTGCAATGAAAATCAACTTTGGTAAGCGTCACAGCAAGGGACATTTTTTCCTGACTGTCCCAAGATTGATCTGGTCCATAGGATGCCCCAGATCATTGCATTCGGTAATTTCATTCTGTTTATGATCTATTTCTTATACGATCAGTATGATAAATGCGATAGGGAGCAAACTGGGTTACATCTGGCACTGGCAAAGTGAGAAGAAGCGGGTATAACTGGGCTGCTGCTCTGTGTGTCTCATGAAGCAGAAAAGCAATTCAGTCAGACTAAAGGCTGCAGACAAGGTGGTATATTCTCCGTGATAAATGCAAATGATGTGACTACATTTTTCCCCGGAACACACAGGGCCTGGGGCCGGGTGGGGGAGGGACGCTGTCTGGGATGGCAGCGTCCCTTAGGGACTCATAGGGAATCAGCACTCGGCAAACACATTGGGGGGTGAGCAGGGGTGGGAAGAATTGGAGTTTGCCTAAATAATCAGTGCTAATGACAAGCCCCTGCTTCCCGACCCAGCCATGCCTCTGAGCACTGCCGTTTTAAAAACATAGTACAAGAGAATCAGGCCTCCAGTGAGCAGAGAGCCACAGGGAAATACTGGACAGTGCGCTGATCCGTAAGAACCCCATCATATTCTCTGAGCATCAGCGTTCCCTTGGCTACAGATCTTGTGGGGTAACAATCAGTTTCACTGTCTGTATTGTTATTTTGTGCCAGGGTCTTCTGTTTTACCACAAGCTGATGTAGCTGGGTGTACTTAGAGAAGCCATTGAATTCTCTGTATCCAAGTTTCATCTGTTAAAGGGGATCAATTATTTATCTCTGGGGCTGCTGGCAAGTATCTTTATGAGGATGAAATGAAATAATGTAGATAACTTCTAAACATAGATCATGTGCCTAATGTGTGAGGTATTGGCTGCCACTGTGAAGCCTTTGGAAGGAAAAAGAGAGGTCGCTGTCCTCAGGAAGTTTAGTGACTAATGGGGATGATGGGTCAAACATTTGAAAAGTAAGACAAGTTCACACAGAAGAAAGTCCTGGACCAGAGCTTACAAACCCTGAGACGGGAGCGGGGCTTCACCACTCCCTCGCTGCTCGACTACACAACCTCCTTCCCCAGTCTGGTCTCAGTATACTCTAGGGAACATTAGACGGTTGGGTAACCTCTGAGGCCACCCTGGACTCTGACTATTTATAATGTCCTGATAAATTGAGCCCTAATGTGGATGCCAATGTTAAAGAGGGATCTGTGCTCCAGAAGGAAATGAAATAGAACTAGATTTTAGAACAGGGGAAGGGCAAGTTTTGGCAACATGGAATGGCTAGGGCATTGCAAATGTGGAGATCAATCTCACTAAGTGCCCCAGATGGGAGTGAGCCAGTCCCAGTCAAGCACGTTCAAACAGTTCAAGTGGCGGGAACCTGGAAAGAGGAGTTAGGGAGAAAGGTAAGAATATACAGAAGATGCCTTTGGCTTCTGAGCCCTTGTCTGGGTGAGGGAGATGGGGGAAGGAGTAGAGAGCGCTCTGGGAGGGCTGGGCTGCTCACCCTGTTGTGGGAGGAGCCTCCCCTGCTGCCCCTGCACCAGTGCATCTGTAAAAGACCAGTAGCCTGCCAGATCTTTCTCAGGAGGGGTGCTTTGTCACCACAACACTGCTGTTTCTTGAGTTCTTTCAGGAAATTCAATCTGCAGTTGCCTAGCCCTGCTAGCGTTTGATCCCTCCCAGACTCTTGCCTGCTCTGCTGCAGAAAGCCCGAGGCCGGCTGGGGAGGGTAGACAAGGTGGGTGGTGTCATGGTAACAGATTCCTGGTGATTCTCTGCCCTCCTACATCTCCCCCCTGCATGGAAGTCTGGTGTCTGGAGAGGGGCAAGCAGAAGGCCCCTTCCATTTTCTCATCTAGGAGGCAGAGGCTGTGACGAAGTCTTCATTGGGCATGTTGATCAAGTGGCCACTGCTCCAGGGGCAGAGCTGAGGACTGTGACCCAGCTGATGGCCACAGCATCCACAGCCCATGTGAAAGTGGTCAGGATGACTCACCTGACCATTTCCCATTTGCAAGGCGTCCAGGTGAATTGCATTCTAATAGGTATTGTGTCTACCAGAGTTATAGCTCTCAAGATTTTATTCAAGATGATCATTCATTTATTCATTCGGTATATTTTCACCCCCTGGGAAAAGGATCCCTGAAGCACTACAGTATTACATCCCTTCTCTATAGCTGAGATGGCTGAGGTCTATCCAGGGTCAGACCAATGGTAATTAGAAGACCCTCCGATCTAGCCCAGTGTGGGAGGCCTGTGACTTCTTGAAGGAGGTGGGGGCTTGGGTGGGAAGAAGTTTTTGTGCAGTTGTTTGTCAATTAAGAGGAGAAATGAAACTTCAAGAAATGGGAACTGGAACTACTGATTTTAGTCAAAGCTTTCCCATTTCATCTCCATCCAAATATCCAGCAAGTGTGAAGTTCAGAAGGGAGAGCAGAGCGATGTCAAAGATCAAAGGGCAAGGCGCACCCCATTTGCCCTTCAAGAAATGAGTCGTCTAGACAGAAAGCATCAGCCTCCTTATCAGCGACTGGGGATCATCAGCAAAGCAAACAAAAGTTTATAGGCTTGCAATCCAACAGGGAAAGATATCCTTCTCTTCCCTGCCACCGTCTGAGTTCATTTTCTATTGACTTTACTTAAGCTTCTTTGGATTCTCAGAGATTTTTTGACTTGCTCTTTACAGGCAGCCCTGGCTGCTCCTCTTTTGTTGGTAATGAGCTCAATTCACATAAAAAGCCAGACCTGCCTCCTAGGCATTTGGGCAAGTCCCAGACAGCACTTCTGCAAGTTCCGCTTGCCTGAGAATTACTCTCAAGCCCCAGACAGCCTAGACTCGGCTCCCACCAGACCACTCTCCATGCCCCAGAAGAAGCCAAATACCAAAAATCAATGGGAATTTTTCAGCGGGAAGACTTCCAAAATCACCAAAGACTTGAATTACCTTTCCATAATTGGGCAAGTCCACCAAATAGCAAAGAAATGATCTCTTTCTTTTTCCCCTGGCTTGCCAATTGAAACATTGTCTGCTCCCAGTCCAAGACATGTCATGAGGCCTATTCCCAATGAGCTCAACCCCCTAATTGGAAGCAGCCCTGCCTCGTCTTTGGTCTTGGGTATTTTCATCATTGGACTGTTCGAGCCAAGCTATACATGTTGCCAAGGAAAACTTTCCTTTGAAACCCCCATCTTATCCAAACAGAGAGTTAGAATTGACTCTTGGCAACTCCAAAGATAGTTCTGAATTATGAAAAGCAGTACGTATGGGTCAGCCCATCGATAAGATTGTCCCCAGTCTGGAAAACTCAGCCTTGCGTAGGAACCCACCTTGCCTTCCGATAAACCAGTAATGGCAATGCCCCTTTAACAGCCTAAGAGCTCTGCTATGCTGCCCACCTGTCCATTTCCTCTGACCATGACTCTCGAAGTCTTCTACTCAAAGAAGTTCGTGAGGCAAGAAAGCAAGGGGCAGTTCAATGAAAGGGAAGATCTAGGTATGGAAGAAATTGAGCTGCATTCTTCAAGGGGAGGCCTAGAATTCCAGCTCTCAGCAAGATTCCAGTTTGGGGAAGGTTTGGTCCAACTTAGAGACATTGTAGTTTTGGAAAACAGGGCATTTGTGAGCACTGTGTATCTCTGCGGAGAGTGAAGTGAGTCTTCATCAACAGAAACATGTTTCCACACAGAAGCTGATGAAAACATTTTGCAAATATTCAAACCAATGATCTGACCTAGAAAACAGAGGCTATGTGATCCCCAGATAGCCTTCTGTATACAAGGCAAGGACCAAGTCAAGGCAGGAAGAGCCCTTCTGGAGGAATCCAGGCTCTGTGGATTCCCTGTCCTGTGCGGCCTCATCCCAGGTTATAGATTTTTCTCCTCATTGTCTTCCTGGCTCCTGGAGGTGAAGTATTACCACATCACACTCTCAGGGGAAGAACACTATTTAGGATGATAGAGCCTCATAATTAGACATGACCTTGAAGCCCATTTTAGGCGATCATCCATCTCATGCCAGCATGCCTGCACCACCTAGTATGCCACCAGTGACAAGACCAGGACTGCCAAGAGCTGAGCTGAAGATGCAGCACCGCACAGAGACACACCACCTCAAGTGGCAGCCGGCTACTATGTGGGGTTAGACACCCTGAGTTTTAACCCTGGCTCCCCACTTATCCTAGGGGACCTTGGGCAACTTACTTGACCTGTCTGTACCTCAGTTCCTAAAAGATAGGTAAAATGTCTACCTCATCTGGTATTTGTGAGATGAAAATGAGTAGGAATAAAGCTCCTGGAATATTGCCATACCACTGAACCAATCAATAGATATTCTCCTCATTTTAAAAAGCTTTTATAAAAATTTTATATATATATATATATATATATACACACACACAAAAGCATAAATATCAGTATAAAGAGCCCTCATATATCAAAATAGTATAATGAATGGTTCACCCAGATTCAACAGTGGTCAACACATGGCCATTCTTGCATTATCTACACTTCACCCACTCTACTCCCACCCCTGAGTATTTTGAAGCAAATAATGTTTAACCTTTAAATATTTCAATATGTATCTCTAAAAATGGGGACTCTCTAAACAATTAATAACTGTAATAGCATTATCAAACTCCCATGATATAAAGACAATTCTGTAACACCAAATATCAGTCATCATCTTTTACGTTTCCTTCTCTCTCTTCTTTCTCTCCATCTGTTGGAAATGATATGAAAAAAAGGTCCACACATCGCAATTGTTACATGTCTCTTGGGTCTCTTTCAATTTGCTGGTTCTCCCTCAGTTCTTTTTGATTATTTATTCCCTTGCAACCATTTAGTCATGAGATTAGAGTATTTGTTACACAACATTTCTCACATAACATTTAACATGTTCCTCTGTCCCTCTGTATTTTCCGTAAATTGCTAGTTAGATCTGGAAACTTGATTGATTCAGATTCAATAATTTGATAAGATTGTTTTCTGATATGTATTTCTATCAGTAAGTTCACAATGTCTGGCTGTTTTCTATTGTTATAATGTTACCAGTATCATTGCCTAGA